CAAGACAACTTTAATGAAAGCCTCACCACTACTGAGTCTGATGAGACTTCCCATACTTGCCATCATTAAAGCCTTCATGAGGCTGTGTCCATTCTTTGCTGATCTTGAGTAAGCTCCTCAAGTACACTGTCCCTTATAGGAAGAAAGTAAGCTGGAACTACTTTCCACGGGAAGCTGGAACTACCTGTGTTTATAGGTCCTTTTCTCTCAGGGACATAAAACAGATCAAAAAGATATAGGAAAGTCCTCAGGCGACCCTGAGATCTTTTTTTTTTTTCTTCCATAATTTTTATTGAGAGACAAATAACAATGAAACCCTGAGATCTTTAAAGGACTTACCCCTATAAACTAGACTGGGCTGATGTAATGTTCCACTTAAATCAAACATTGACTTCTGAAAAAATTTTTTAAATCATTTATATGTTTATTTATTTATTTATTTTGGTTTATTTGGTATAGGGTCTCACTATGCAGCTCGGACTCATAGTGATCCTCCTGTTGTAGCCTCCCCAGTGCTGGGATTATAGGTATGTGCCACCACACCCAGATTTGGTGGCAGGCATGGTGTGCCCAGGAACCCAGGGCTGGCACAGCATGAGGTACCAGAGATTGAACTTGGGTCCTTGCATTTGCCAGGCAGGAGTTCAGACCACTGAGCTATCTCCCTGGCCCAAACATTGACTTCTCATGAGCGACAAAGGGTACAGATGCAGATTTTCTTAAGTACAGGCTACAGATACCTGGGGATCCATATTTTCAGCATGGGTTCAAGTATAGCCTAGCCAGCACTGCTTTAGAGGAAAATTACCTAGGTGACTAGATAAAGCAGCCCAAATGTCCTGAAGACTTTTTTGTCCTAGGACCAAGATTTCTTCTGGAGCATTACTTGTCCCTGGAGGTGATAGATCTCTTTTACAGTCTGGCATTGTAGAAATTTTTGTTTCAGAGTTATTTTTATAGAAAGTAAGCCCTAAAACAAGATAGTTACAGCTCTTTCATTTTACTTCTTACTCTCTTTCAAAAGATTAAAAAGCAGCCATTCAGTTTCTTTGATTATTGATTTAATTTTCTGCTTAGCAATACAATGGGAGTTAATCATAACTTTTTGTCTCTGGAGGCGTGTTTTGCTAAGGATTTTTTGGTACCAGGAAATGAACTCAGGCCCTCATGCTTGCCAGGCAGGTGCCGTGCTGCTAAGCCATGTCCCTGGCCCTTTGCTAAGGATTAAAGACCAAGCCTGGGAAAGCTTTTGACCTTAATTGTTTTTTTTTTGTTTGTTTGTTTGTTTGTTTTTGTTTTGTACTGGGGGTCGAACGCAGGACGTTGCACTCACCAGGCGGGCACTTAAGCTGCTGAGCTATCTCCCCAGCCCCTACTTGTCTTTCTATATGTAAAGATGATTAGAATTTAGTTCTTGTGCCACATTTAGTCACTCTTTTGTCTCTTTTTTGCTGCCCTGTCCCCCAAATTAATAGAATTTGCACAGCATTTAGTCCAAGACTATTTATTCTGAACAAGTTTCAGAATAATTTTATTTTTCAACTTTTATGTATTTATTTTGTGTGTGTGTGGCCAACTCAGTCCACCCTGGGGGCGGGGCTGGCATGGCAGTGGTGCCTGGGATTGAATCATGGTCCCTTCACTTGCCTAAGCAGGTGCTTTAAACCGCTGAGCTATCTTGCCAGCCCCAGAATAATTTTTGTCCTTAAGCAGAACTCTTACTTCTTTCTCCCTCTCAAGAATGATGCTGTTTTTGTTTTTGTTTTTGCACTGGGGATCAAACTCACGACTTCACACTAGCCAGGCAGGCAGGCTCTGTGCCGCTGAGCTATATCCTTGGTCCCTGTCTGGTTTTTATAGCGCAGAAAAGTTCACTGATGGAACAAAACATTCCGAGATGACTTTACGAGTTTAATAACTGTTTTAGGGCTGGTGAGATGGCTCAGTGGTCTAAAGCACCTACTTAGAACAAGCTTAGCAAAGCACAGGGACCGCGGTTCAATCCCCCAGCACCACATGCCAGCCAGCCCCGCCCCCTGGTGGGCTGAGCTGGCCACACACACAAATAAATGAATAAATAAAATTAAAAAATAATAATAATAACTGTTTTAAACAGAAACAGGTATTTAAAAATAGGCACAGGGCTAGGGAGACAGCTCAGCAGTCTAAGCGCCTGCGTGGCAAGCTCAAGGACCTCAGTTCTATCCGTGGTCCTACATGCCAGGCTGGCTACTGAAACCAGGCATCATAGTGCATGCCTGTAATCCCAGTGCTGGAGAGGCTGAAAGGAGGGTCACTGTAAGTCTGAGCTGTGTAGCGAGACCCTGTACCAAATGAATAAATAGATAAATAAAATAATGTGTTAATTTTTATGATCTGGTTCCCACAGACACCTGAAAATATGTTGCGATAATTAAATTATGGCCCTTTAGGCTGAAGAATACTGCTGGACAGGCTTTCTCTTGGTGATTAAAGGAGCAGCTGCCTGGAAACACTTTTCTTCCAGTATTAGTTCACTAATGGGAACCCAGTTATTTCAGCCTTAGGGGAGGTGCACCTCAATAAACAGTGCTAAACATGTTGTGATATATTTGCACAGGTTATCATCAAAAGATTAAGTTTCCTGTGCAAAAAAAGTAAGGTTTTATTAAAAAGTTCTCTGGATAGAAAACTAAAAGACAGAAGTTTTCATATAGCTGTGACACTCATTCTTGCTAATTTCATGGTGTTCTAAAGGCATTCATGCCATCTGGTTTTCTGAGATGTAAAACCAGGATTGTTTATGTGATAACCTTTTCTTTTAGATTGATAGCTGTCTTTATCTTGTGCTCCAGTTGCCTGTCATAAGAAATATATGTCAAGTCAGCATGAGATCACCATCAAATGATAAGTTTTTTTCTTTAAGTTACATGATATGTATGCTTTTTTCTTGCCTCTTTCTTTCTTTCTTTCTTTCTTTCTTTCTTTCTTTCTTTCTTTCTTTCTGAGTCTTTCATTGGTCAAGAATAATGTGTTACCAGGCGTGGTGGTGCATGCCTGTAATTCCAGTGCTCGGGAGGCTGAGGCTGAGGATCAGACTCAGGACCTTGTGCTTGCCAGGCAGGTGCTTATGCCACTGAGCTATCTCCCTGGCCCTCATTTAATGTCTTGTGATCAGATGGAGATGTTTCAATAAAAAGGCCATTCTATCCTAAGATAGACATTTAAGTGTGTTTCAAAGATGATGTAATTGGGCTAGGGAGATAGTTCAGCAGCTTAAATGCCTGCCTGGGAAGTGCAAGGTCCTGAGTTCGACCCCCCTATAATAATAATAATAATAATAATATGATTGTCATGCTGAAATAATATGTATGGCTTTGATTTCAAGGGTTTTTTTCTGTAAAACTGTGTAATTCTTGTCTATTAACATTCTGCAGGGATTCAACTACTAAAACAACCATGGTTGGTCAGCAATAAAGCCCTCTAGCTACTTCATATGTTTCAAAGTTCTTGACATTCAGATGAGACTATGATAGCTATGCTCACTGCTCCCTCTTACTGATCTTCTCTTCTGGGTGTTCAACCACTGAAGTTTAGAAACTAAAATAAGAAAAGTAACTGGAATATTAAGGCACAAGTATATTGGCCCTGACGCTCCAAGGTCAAGGAGGACCCAAGATATGTGGGAAATTCTCTAGGCGCATACAACTTTGGTGAGTCACTTACCTTCCTGATCAGGGAGACTGTAGTCCCCAGAGGAGAGGAGCAGTGCATCAAAAGAGAGTTACCAAAAGGAAATCTTCTATGCTTTCATTGAAAGCAACACGGTCAGGCAAGACCACTACTCATCCCGGTGACTGACACTGAGAGGAGCTGAGAGGCTGTGTACATGGTTCCCAATGTAATGCCTGTGGAGACTTAGCTGATCTTGATAGGCAACAAGAGGTTAAGTTTGATTAATACAGGTCTTACATTAACTTTGACTTAAACACCCAGCAGAAAAGTATAGCCAAAAGATATATAAAAGCAATACCATTGTAATAAAAACTATAGAAAGTTGGCTCCAATCACTGACCGCTTCTGGCAGTTTCCAGCTACACTGGTAGCTGACTACTATTAAGGTATATTAAGAAAAACTATAGTGGGCCAGGGATATATGTCAGTGGCAAAAGAACCTCCTTGGTAAACACAAGTTCCTGAGTTTGATCCTTGGT